ATGTACATAATTGTCAATCTTTAGCAAGACAGGGAGTTCTTTTCTAACCAGAGCCAGAAATACTCCCTCTGGAGAAATCTCACAAACAATGTGAAAAAAAGCTTTTGAACTTTCCATGGTACAAAGTTTAAAATGAGGACAAAACTGGAATGAGTTGGTCTTGAGGATTTTCTAAGCTATGCTGCATTTCCATTGCTTTACAGATACAGACATCTGGAAGCAGAATTTTCAGCTAAAAAGAAAAAAAAACCCCATTGTTTTGTATTTCACTAGCATAATTAATTTTCCTTAAACATGAATAAAATTATTACAGTAGACAAAAATTTTAATATGTATAAATCTCTCTGGATCAACCCTAACCATATTTTGGTGTAATAAAAAGAGGCTATATTCCCAGATATGAAGCTGCATATAATTTCAGACAGATTCAGGGACAGCAAAACCAATTTTAGTTAAACAGCCTGGAGGAATCTCATAATATTAAAGACAGCATTAAACACAAGTTTACATAAAGTAATTGAGAATGCTCCTTATGATTTAGTCCAACACTTATAAACTCAGATTATAATGACAGGTTTTTTCTTTTAAACATTGGATCATTATGATATTCAGTGATAAACAACTTATTCTATGACTTTAATTTCAGCAAAAACTTTTAGAGAAACTCTACAATGGCATCAACTAACCAAAATGAAAGATGGTACAGGGTGCTGCAAGATTATTTTCAGAGCTCTAAGCCAAATTTCCTGTTGTCCCAAGGGCCCTATGCCACTTCATACTGTGGAAAATACCAAGTTCCTGGCATATCAAAGCCTGGATCTTGAAAAGTTCTGAGACCCCTTCAGTTGTGCTGCCCAGGTGACTTGAGGGGACCCTGTGTTTGGTCATGGGCTCCTCTGTAATGGCTGGCACTAGTCCTGCCAGGCAGTAATCCCACACCTTTCAGATCACATCTACTGGGTGACCCTTTCCTTGCCTTCCAGAAACAGGGGCCAGGGAGCTATCTGGGAGATGAATAAACCCTTTGAGTACCTCAGGAAAAGAGGGTGCATTCAACAAAGGAGCACTTGCATAGCCTTGTGGATGTACTCTGTACACTTTGTCCCGATTAGAAAGGAAGTGAGCTTAACAGAGAATCCAACTCAGACAAACAGTTCTGTCCTTTAATTTGGAAAATCTGCAACCTGTTACAGTTCACTTGCTAGTATGAAAAGCAAGCTTGAAAAATGGCACTGTTGAGACCAGTGAATAATGGTTTAAGTGGAATAGCAGCAGTCAGGGTGAAGAACATGGTGGAGTGGTCTGGGTGGAGGAGAGCAAATGCAACAAGCCCCCAAGTTCTGACTTTTAATTATGATGCTGTTGTGGACATGCATGTGTCTCACTGATGCCTGACACTACCACCCACCTCAGGAGCACAGGCAGTTTCCAAGAGGCCTTCTGGTAGCAATGAAAAGCTTAGCCTGGAGTCCAAGCACTTTTTTTCCCATTCACAGTGAAACTATCTCAGCATGAGATTACTTTTCATTTAAACTTTATTTCTGAACTGACTTTGTAACCTCCTATAATCTTGTTACTCTGCATACCCCTTCTCCCTGGACTTCAAAGATTCTGTTTGGGTTGCTTATATAATCTCAGTGCTGCAGTACACAAGCTAGCTAAAGCATGCTATAAATGCAGCTATTATTACTACTTAATAAAAACAGAAGAGTTATTCATTGACCAAACCTTTTTTTTTTCCCTTTCTAATAAACATATCAGATCCATATCTAAGTGGTGATTAAAAACTATGACCTTGCACTAAGTTTATCCCATAACATCCTCATCATGACTGGTATTTAATTTTAAAGACTTTTCATTGCATTCTCTGCAAAGCAGTATGTCTCATCATTACCTAGTTACCAGTAAAGCTTTTTTCCAACATTCACTGACACAGACAAGAAATTGGCTATCTTAGAAAGGCCACTTTAGGGGCCAAGTGAAGAGCAACCAGCTGAAAAAAAAAAAAAAAAAAGAGAAGGAAGTCCTTTCCTCCTCTGTTCTGGCAACCATCATATGGATCATTTTACTTAGTATACCACATGTTGCTTTTTGTTGTGCTTTGTCCTTACACTGTCTTTTAAGGCACAAGTTCTTTGGCAATGAATAGAGGCTTCTATGCTTGGAAAACATTTCTAGCATGTTGCAAACACTACTGTAATATAAATACTCATTGTCCTCCTGAGGTTCCTTACCACCACTGCTCCTCAACACAGATTTGTCACTTGTTTTACAGTTTTACATTAAGTTTTGTGTCACTGGTGTAGTGCTGCAATAATAAGGCAAATGCTTCATACACCCAAAGATGGATTTTGTTGAAGTTGGTATTTCTGTTAACCATGCTGTGAAACAGTATGATGTCAAGACAACCTGAAGTAGCTTAGCACATTAGCAAATGTGAAAACTAAGACCTTTAATTATATCCCAAAAAACATGTGGAAAAGAGAGGGAAAGAACAGAAGACTTTTGAAGCCAAATTAGCCTGTAAATTAATAACTATCATTAGATTTTAGCCAGGCACCATATTTGTGCCTTGGTCTCTTTCCTAGTTGTTTCATGGTTGGATGATTGACCTTCAAGTCTGTGACTTTCATCTCCATTGTGTTTGCTGAAGGAGTACACAACAAACGCAAAAGATCTTTAACTCTTCAGTTCCTATCTGGCAGAATACCATTGTATGCATTTCTCAAGTTTTTGAAAATAACAGCCTTGACTTTCTTCTCATTTAGCCCAGTTTAACAATGCTACAAGTCCAAGGAAATCAGCTGAATTAATCTCTTCTTAAGGCATGCTAGAGGAATGCCTAAACCTAGTATTTTTGACGTACCTCATACATCTATAGTTGAAGGAAAAACTCTCATTACACATATATAAAAATCTGTCCACTTCATGCACTGGATTTAAAACTTGGTTTTAGTCCACTTTCTTCTGCCCTTACCACAAAGAAATTACTAATCTGGAACTCTGATTTTAGTTTCCATCTTTTCCAGTCCATTTGCCACCTTGTTTTTCCTTTGGTGGTTGCTGTTGTTTTTAATTCTCCCTTGGAGCTCACTAGTCATATTCACCTTGAAATTTTATCCACTGGGCTTTCATGACCTTGTCCTCTGAGAACTCCTTTTGCCTTTCTAATAATTCACCCTAGTTTTCCTTCTCATTTTTCATGTATGTACCACAAGGCACTTGTAGCCTTGGTACACTTTGTTTCTCCTGCATTCTTCATATAGTACATTCAGTGCCTAACATTTCTTGAAGTCCTATTACTATGCCAATCAATCCTAAATCCAGTTCTATAGGAGAGATAAGAACTAAACAATTTTTTTATTAATTGCATGAATAAAGTCATGTCACTATAATACAAGGATATTGCAGTGTTACACCTCACAAAAGCCTGTGAGAAGCAAAAGCATTAGTATTCCTCTTCTAAAGTGGCAGAGAACAAATCACTTATCCAATGTCATGTGAAGTCTTGTGGCAGCCTCTGGGTTCATTTCACCTTTCTACCTCAAGATCTGTATACTGGGTCATGTATTTTACACTTCTTGGGCTTCAGAATGCCTTTGCTTAACTTACAGGCAGTGCAGACCAATGGCATGCATGGTGTCTCACCAGCCTACAGAGCAGCGATTTGCTGTCTGCTCACCAAATGGTTCTCAGAGAAGATGGATGGGAGAAGATCCAGCCCAGGAGGAATAATTGCTCTGCCTCACCACACAGCTCTGAAGCATCAATCACTGTGTTGGGCTGTACTGCTGGAAACTCCACTTTCCTAAACTATACCACAAGCAAGCAAAGCCATGGTTAATTGGATCAATGGAAGCTTAAACATCACCTCAGAGGAGTCCAGATGCCCATGTGGCTTTTGGCAACGGACGTGACTGAGCTGAGACCTTTGTCCCCTCTACCAGCACCGCTCTGCCAAACGAGCTTCCTTTTGCCTGTCAGGGACTTTGCCACGTTCATTACAGCACAGGCCCCAACTCCTGGGCTCGCCTTGTTTTGGCAGCTACATCAACTGGCTCTTTCTTCCTGCTTTTTGCTTTTTCATTTCTTAATCACCTAGTTCCAGCCTTCACTACCACTCCGTTAGGCGGGACACAAGCCACGTGTTATTTATGAAGGAGACAGCACATGTCTCTCCCGCGCTACCAGCTATCCGGCGCGAGTATTTTGGGGCCTACGGGAGTGACAAAACCTGGCTCTCCACTGTAGCCAGGTGCCGCCGCCGCCACCCTGCCTGTCATTGAAGCCACAGCGCCCAGCTTCCACGTCCCCCGCCGCTGCCCGGAGCCCCCGCCTCACCTGCGGCAGGCCCACACCCACGGGGGCGGCGGGCAGCTCGCTACCGGGGTCACGGGCACCCTCAGACTAGCGACCTGCCCAGCGACGACGGGGCGGCCCCGGCAGCACAGACCAGTGACATCCCCAGCAATTTCTCCACTGTCCCTGACGGAAAGGCCGCACTGGTCATAGCGGGAGAAGGGCGCCATCCCCACGAGATCACTCCGGCCCGCGGCCCACCCGTGCGCCCACGACCGGAGCGGCGCCGCCGAGCCCCTCACGCAGGGGCGCGGAGGACGCGGCCGGCTCCGAGCCGGCCCCGCCCGCCCGGCCACGCCCGCCTGACGCGCCGGCGGCGCTGGCGGGCTGGAAGTGGCGTACGTGCACAGCGGGCCTCTGGAGTGGCGCCTCCTCCTCCTCGCCCCGGCAGAGCGGCGGAGGCGCGGTGGGTAGAGGCGGCGGCCGCGCCGGCCCGTGCTGCACCGGGCAGGGAGGCCGGCAAGGAGCGGAAGGCAGCCCCTCACCGCGCCGCTCCGCTCCCCCTCGGCCGTTCCGCCGCCGGTGGGGCGGCGATGAGGCGGCGCTAAGCAACGTTAGCGGCGCAGGGAGGGCGGCGCGGGCCCCCGCGCGCCGGAGGAGGCCGCGGGCCGGCGGAGGCGGAGGGCGGCGGGGGCCGCGGCGGTGCCGGAGCCGGGCGGCCATGATGCAGTAAGCGCTCCCTCCCCGCGCGGCCGGGCGGGGGCCCGCGTTAGCGCCGCTCCCGCCCGCCTCCTTACATAACACGACCCGGCGGAGCGGGGCTGCGGCGGCACCACCAGCGCCATGGCGAATGACAGCGGCGGAGGCGCCGGTCAGGGCGGCCAGGGCGACAGCGGCAGCGGCGGCAGCAGCAGCAGCAACAGCAACAGCAGCAGCGAGCGGGACCGGCAGTACTGCGAGCTGTGCGGGAAGATGGAGAACCTGCTGCGGTGCGGGCGCTGCCGCAGCTCCTTCTACTGCAGCAAGGAGCACCAGCGCCAGGACTGGAAGAAGCACAAGCTGATCTGCCGCGGCGGCGGCGCTGCGGCGGCTGGAGCGGCAGGGGGCGCTACCGAGCCCCACGGCGGGCACCCCCCGCCGCCCCGCGCCCACGGCGGGGCCGCGGCGGGCAGCGGCAGCCGGGCGGGGGTCGGGAAGGGCGCAGCGCCGCCGTCCCCGGAGGCCCCCGCTGAGGCCGCTCCGCTGACAAACAATCACGTCGCCGCCGCCGGTGCAGCTGCCGGCGGTGACGCGGAGGCATCGGCCGGGGCCCAGTCCCCGTCGCCCTCCGGGGAGGCAGTGCTGCTGTACCGGGACAAGTCGAACCTGTACCCGGGCGGCGTGCAGGCGGGACCCGGTGCGGCCGCGCTGCGCCCCAACGGGCAGACCAAGTCGCTGGTGCCGCAGCGGCTGGCGCTGGAGTACATCGTGCCCTGCATGAACAAGCACGGCATCTGCGTGGTGGACGACTTCCTCGGCAAGGAGCTGGGCGGACTGGTGGCCGAGGAGGTGCGGGCCCTCCACCACACCGGCCGCTTCACCGACGGGCAGCTCGTCAGCCAGAAGAGCGACTCCTCTAAGGACATTCGCGGCGACAAGATCACCTGGGTGGAGGGCAAGGAGCCGGGCTGCCAGACCATTCGGCTCCTCATGAACAGCATGGACGATCTCATCCGACACTGTAATGGAAAGCTGGGCAACTACAAAATCAACGGCAGGACGAAAGTGAGTGAGGGAGGGAGCTGGGACCCCCGGTGCCCGGCCTCCCCCTGCTCCTGCTGCCGGGGGGGCTGTGGCGGGGGGGCGGGAGCGGGGCCGCGGAGCCGGCGCTTCCCCGGTGCGGGCGTGTGTGCGCGCACGTGTGCGGCTGTCTGCGGGGCTGCGTGCGTGTGCGCACGTCCGTCCGGCTGTCTGTCCGTCTGTTCTGGGCTGTGCTGAGCGTGTGCGCCCGCTGCCGCTCCGCTTCCCGGAGCCGACTCATACTTGCGAGTCATGTCCAGTTCTGGGCTCCTCAGTAAGAGAAAGAAGCTTCTGTCTTTTCTCTAGAGGGTCGCAAATATGATTAGGGGTTTGGAGCATCTCTGTCATGAAGAGAGACTGCGGGAGCTGAGCTCTTTTAGTCTAGTGAAAAGAGGATAGAATCTCATTAATGTATGTAAATATCTCAGGTTGATGTTAAAAAGACGGTGCTAGACTCTTCAGTGTTGCCCAGTGACAGGACAAGTAGCAGTCGCCATAAAGTAAAGCACAAGAAGTTCCACCTCAGCAAGAGGAAGAACTTCTTTACGTTTAGGGTGGCAGAGCACTGAACAGGCTGCCCAGGGAAGTCGTGGAGTCTCTATCTGGAAGCATTCAAAACCCACCTGGACGCCTTCCTGTGTCACCTGCTCGAGGTGACCGTGCCTGGGCAGGAGGGTGGGACTGGATGATCTCCAGGGGTCGTTTCCAGCCCTCACAGTTCTGTGTCCCACGCCCGGCCGCGGCGGGACCCGCAGCCCCAGCGGGCCTGGGCCGCAGCTGGGACGGGTGAGTTGCTGTCCCGCGGGCAGCCTGGAGATCGCTCTCTGCTGGGAAGGTGCGAAAGGGTTTGTTTGCAGGTAAAAACGGTGATCTTGTTTATATACCCGCGTTTTGTTAAAAGCCCCTTGACCTGGAAGCTTATCCTCTAGGTGATGAGTGTTGAAATGGGAGTTCTTCCGTGTTCTCCCAAAAAACGCGGGTCAGCCAGCTCTGCCCAGCTGTGGGAAGCGGGGGCTGGCTGCGGGGTGTCCCGGCAGCGGCGCTGGCTGAGGAGGGTGGAACCACTTGTGCACAGCGTTTGTAGGCTGGCATGAATGTGCCGGGTTTTGGTAAACCTTGGCTCAGGATGTGGCCTGCCACGTGCAGGACTTTAAAGTGTGGTCAGGAGACCCGCACCAGTGAGTTAGTGCCCCGGTGGCACTATAAACCCGCGGGTTACAGTGAGGTGTTGTGGCAGGTAGTGGAATCACAGCCATGGAGCAGGGTGGCTTTGGGCAGAGTTTATATTTTACTCTCATTAAGTCACTTTTCCACAAAAATCTTACTCTTTAGCTCTATTTCGAGACCAGAGAACTGAGTCAAAATCTCCTATTGTATTAGCCTAATTTGCGATTCCCTTCCAGTCCTTTAAATAAAATTCATGCCCTTGGTAGAGAACTAGTAATGAATATTCATCAGTATCTTTTCAGTTTAATAAAAAAAAGAAGAAGGGTGAAGCCCCTTCAGACTTTGCTACCTCTGTTAAAGCATAAGGAAGCCAGTGAAATGGTAGGAGTCATCCTGCCGAGGTGGTTGCACTGTCACAGATGGACTGTTGTTGCTGCAGCTGCAGAATCTCAGCTGGTAGGAAGCTGCGGGAGGGAGGGAGGAAGGGAGAAACTGGACGGCCAAAAACAGCCCTGGATTTGTTCAGGGCACGGGAAACTCCCGTGATAAAGAAAAAAGGGTGGGAGTTTTGTTTTTTTTTTGTAATGCTATCTTTGCATTTCTTCAGTTGAAGCAGTACTGTGCTAAAACATTTAAATGGGAACATGGTGTAGAGTCCTCATAGATTCCTGCAGGACTTTGCTAAGCCAACTTAGCTTTCAGGCAGTCTTAAGGCTTCAAACTTACACTCTAAAAATATCAGTGGTTTTGCTGGATTTCAGTTTTATGCAGCAAAAGGGAATACTGCTTCTGTTTTTCTGTGCAGTGGTATGCTTCTGTAAAGAATAAGTGCCAAGGCTTTTGGAGTAGTAATCCTCAATCATGCCTGTAATTCCTGGATCCCACTGTATTTTATGATCCTACTTGGTTTTTGAAATCCCTCTGTTGGGGGATCTGATCAGTAAGAGGGCAATACTTCACTCCTTGGTGGCACAGAAATGCGTTACTTTGTCTTCTCACTTTCCCTTGTTTATTTCCCTGCAAAAGTCAGTGCTTCTAGTGTGCAGGAAAGCTCAGTTCTCTAAAATGCCAGCAAAAGCAGAATGAAAACTGTCATTCACTGTCAAAGATCTACCTCAGAGTTGAATAAACAGAAACAGATGATACCCAGAGTATCACTTCAAATAACTTGCATTGTAACCATACAACTTGTAACCCATTGGTGGTGTTGGCATTGAATTTGCCATCACTTCTGTGGCAAGTGTCTGTTGAAGTGCACTTCAATTGTCTAGAAGCAGTGTATGAAAAAGCAAGAAGAAATTGGTCTGAGGTGTGTGTATATATATATATATCCTGAATCTCTTGGCTTGTAAACCTGCCTGTCAGGGAAAAAGCTATGTTGTGTTAATAGGATCTCGTTCAAATATTTACATTCACCAAGGCCAGTCCACTAAGGCAAAGAACGTGAAATAAGGTAAAATGTTGGTTGTGACCTGAGATTTTATATTTTAAAGTCTCTGGTATGTGTTTTCTCTAGGTTACCTGAGCCACTTAGAACTGATCTGCTTAAACTGGTGTGGTTCTACCTAGTCCTGAGTGTGAGCAAATTACTCTCCAGCCTGAAAGATACAGCACTAGTTATAAACTAGCCAAGTACTTCTGAGGTGTGGGAAGACAACAGCAAGTATAAGAGAGTGGCTAACTATTTACTCATCTTGGAAGTCCTGACTTACTGCATTCCTTGCTTTTGTTCTCTTTCTTTCCAGACTCTGCTTCCTTCTTTTCTCTAGCACAGTGGCACATACGTGCATATTTGAGCTCTAGTGTCTTTCTCCTACTTCCTGTTATTTTCTAGTTTTTACTTCTTTCATCTTTTCATACATTCTCCTTTTTTTCCTTTGTCTTATCAGTTGCCACATTTGTACATGCATGGATTTCTGTTTCTTGCCTGTCCTGTTCTTACATGACTAGTGGAGGTAAAAGCGTGCTCATCAAAATCAGGAAAAGAAATCATCCTGAATCTCACCCAGCTGAGATGGTTTTTCCTCCTTCCCCATATGGAGCGTGAAGAAGGGGTTAGGAGTGGTGTCAGGTTTATGATTTTTTTTGCCAGCTTTCTCTTTCCTGTATTGTGGACTCTGTGATCTGAAGCTTACATCATTTACTGGTCCTGGAGTAATACTGTGACTTCCCAGTTGTGGGCTGGGTTCCTAATAATCACCTTATAACCAGACATCTGATCCATCAGGTGTTCCTCTTTCTGCTCACCATTACACCCAGTGCCAGCCATCTCCTGAACCCTGCCCTCTGCCTTTGGTAGGAAGGACATTAACATAGACAGTCTGACAGGCCCTCTTGGATCCCTTTAGTTTTTCCTTCATTCCTACTTCTAGAAATCTGTCAGGAGACCAATCCTGTTCAAATTGCTGCATTTTAATGCTCTCCTCTCTCTACTAGTATGCTAGTGACACCCACTGCTTCTCAGCCACTTGTAGGTTAAAAAATTGCTTTATTTGTTACATATTGTGTAAACTTGCTTTTCTGCTTTTTCTGGCAATTGCTTATTTCTTACTCTGGAGATCATGGGGTTTTCTGAAGACCTAGGATTCAGACTAGTCTGACCGTGCCCTATTAAATTAGATTCTTTCAAAGTTAGTAATGCTCCTTTAGAAAATAATTCTCCAAGAGTGAGTGGATTTCTTGTACCCTGCTGATTTCTTGTACCCTACCTCTTCTGTCCAGTTTATAAAAAAAAACTGGACAGAATATATAAACTGGACAGAAGAGGCTCTCTGCTCTTGCCACTTATTTATGTTGCAGCTTTTCTACAAACATGTTGGATTAATGTTACCAAGGAAAAGTAAGATTTATGGGTGTTCTTTCCACTGTATCTTATTCTATAAAATATAACTGTAAGCATGTGTGGCAATAAGAAGACAAATGAAAAATAAGAGGGAATAAGAACTTGGCAACCAAGCAGGACTGGAAACTGTGGTAGAAGAAAGGAAAGCAATCACAGGGGCAGGTGTGCAGATCTGGTAAGTCCTGCTCTGGTTGAAGAACCCAAGAGCTGGGACTGGAGATCTGGGCTTAGGAAGGTCTGTAAAGTGGGGGGCTTTCCTTCCATTTGCTTGTGGCATGTGTGATTACATTGATCCCCCTGTGTCATTCTGGAGATCATTTCACTATCACATCTTGAATGTATTTCTTGGTAGAAAGCTTACCAATCTAATTGGTTCCTAGTGAATGACCTCATGTATGGCTTTGAATTTGCCACTGAGTTGTGGGAAAGTCTGGATTGGTTTGTCTCCCAGTACTCACTTGTGTTGCTTGACCTTGATACAGAACATGACCAATGCTCGTCCTTATCTGTTGGTAGTTTCCCTGACAGCAGCACTTCTGTTGGTGATGATGTTGTCTTGTAGATGACTGTGCTGTCTGCAGAGGATTGTGTGGTGATCCATGGATACACAACAGCCCACACATGGTTCTTGGAGATACTCAAATCCCTGTTGGAGTAGAGCCCTGGCATGTGATGACTGTAGTTTTGGATTTCTGTTCCTTGTATACAAGCCTTTTGGGTCCCAGGTGAAGGAGGTGATCAGAAGAGTGATTGGGGTTTCTCCTGCAAATGATCTTTTGATGGAGATGCTCAGGAACATCCAGAAAATACTCTTGTTTACAGCCAGCTTTAGCATTGCTGAAATTCTGACAGGTTCTCCTACTAGAGAAAATTACAGAGATATGCTGGTTTCTGAGAGGAGCTGTGTGGTGATTGCACCTTCCAAGTGTGGTGTGAATATAGTGTGTCCAAGGGTGGGGAGCACCACCTGTGACTG